AGCAGAAATGTTGGGAACTGCGTTAGCATGAGTGACACTCTTGACATTATACAAATAATGATCGGTGGCGCTTTCACGTCAAAAAAAAAGTGCTTTGGGGAGAAAAACGAGAAAGCTCAGTAAATGTTGAAGTGTCACCAAAAACAACAGGAAAACATGAGAGACAGATGAACACAGCGGCAAACATCTCAGGGTTCCTATCCAGGGCGTGCGCCTCAGCAGGTTGGATAATGCTGGCGCGGGGAATTTGCCAATGCTAATGGCACTGCCAAATACAAAGACAAACAGCTCAGCAAAACATATGCAGACAGGGTCACCAGACTTTTCTTGTGAAACATACTTGAAACGCTGATGCATACAGAATGGTCCCTTCACTTGTTATTGTGCCAAACTGTAAACAGGAGTACAAGCAAAATTAGCATACAGGGAGAGACTGAGCAGCAACATCCAAGTTCTGAGGGAACAAAACACTCACAAGACGAAAAATGAAGACATTATCTTCCCGCGCTGATTTGTGAGAGCAATTAATTAGCCTGCATATCAAATTATTGTGACAGTTGTTTGGCCTGTTCCCTGGATTGCAGGTAAATTGCCTTCCCCAATCTCTCTCTATTGATTTGTGCATATTGTATTTCTTCTGCTCCTGCCTTTTGTTCCGGTGGCTCCTGAGAGGATTGTGGAACCAGCTTTTCAGTGACTTGCTGAACCTGATTAAGACAAACTGGTTCAACTCCAGTAGTGAAGAGTTACATGTCATACAGGCTGTTGATATGTCAGGTTGTTCTCTGAGGTCAAGTGTCATAAGGAGCAGGAGATTTTGATATCTTCCTCGGCATCATTTAGGAATCAGAACAAAGCTGAACATCCATGTTTGAATTTTGATTTGTATTCATATTTAAAAAAATAAGGATTAAAATGTAAGTCAGTCACTTTGATTCAACAGTGGCTTATTATCATGCAGCTGAACTCCTCCCTAGAGATTATAGGGTTAAAAATGGTAGTGTGAAAATTTGAATACACTTTAAAAATTTCTATACACTCATATCTTAAATTTTTAAATATATATTTTTTAAAATACAAATGCAAATTTTTTAAATTTTCCAGGACCCTCCTGAGTTTCTACTTTATTTTTATCAAGCGATCAAAGGATCAACCCTCCTACATCTGCTCCTCCCCGGCTCGGGGACCTCCAGAAGACTTTACAAAGGACGCTATGGTAGAGAGCTGCTTAGAAACACCAGGAGGATTATTTCATCCTTCTGTTTAATAAAGTGGCACTTCTGGATTTTCAAAAGCAAGTTGAAGTCTCTTGACAGCTGTTTACATTGATTGACAGGCCGCTGATCAATAGGAACTCTAAACTCAAGCGGGTCGACCTGACTGCAGAGAGCCATTCAAGTAGTATTTAAAAAAAAAAAAAAAAGAAAGAGAGAATGGTGATAAACGGATGTTAATCAGGATTTTAACTGTAACAACTTGGTGAGGAGGAATCACATTAAGATAAAAGAAAAACACCACTCGGCCACTAACATGAGCTGAATCAATGAATGTGCTTAAGGTCCGCTGCACTTTTATTCCCTTAATTAAATTGGGCCATTTATTACTGCACTATAACTGCACTGATTGTATACATAATAGACCATATTCCTAATCTGTTCTATGTGATTTAATTTAATTGAACCTTTATTATTATTATTATTATGATTAATATTACTGTAGATACAACATATTACTCACAAAACCAAATGCAAATGTGCAAAACCTGCAAGAAAGGACAAATAAATTACATTGAAAAATAAATAATAAAAAATAAATAATTATCATAAACAAATAATACAAATAAAAATTGAGAAAAACATTTATTTTATTTTTTACACGTGAAACCCTACACGAATAATTTTCATTCAGTCTCTCACTTCATGCAATAGTATAAAAGGCTTGCTTTAATAGCCAAACAAAAAACAGCATAGATCAAAATAAAGATTAGATTAGATTGAACATCAAGTTCTTCACATTCAGTTATTTCCAAGAAAAAATATCATATCAAATATGTTCTGTCAATACAATTGGAAGCTTTAATACATTTTTAAATCTTATTCTTTCAAGAAAAATGATATACAGTAAAATGAATGTCTGCATTAAAGCAAACTTTGTGTTTTTAAACGTTGTTCTAACACATGCATTGGACCTAGATGTGCAAAAACCAGATGTCAGACAGGAGCAGGACACACAACAACTTTGTCTAGCAGGTATATACAAATGACTCAGCGATGACCTCATACACAGCAACAGGTGAGACGAGCTTTTTTTCCTCCGTAAGATAAGGCCAGGGATAAAAACACAAATAGATTTCAGCTGCAACAGGTGACAGAAGAGCACACCACAACCTTGACAGCTCTCAGAGAAGACAAACACATTAACGCTCAATTTCATACACGCACTTTGATGTATCTGCCATTAACAGGCCGGTGCACTGTGCCTCTCTCACTTTGGTAACAGTGAATCCATTAAAAACTGCGATTTACCTCAACTAATTGCGGTGCACTCAAGCCAGCCTTTGAGGCTCTCCTGTTCATCAGCATGATACAGGTGCATATGCAGCACATGATCCGCCATGGGCCATTTACAGTGACACACACACACACACACACACACACATATGAGCAATGAGCTTCATGCGTGCATATACTATGACTCATGTGTTTCAGATGCATTGTGAATAGGAATAACTATAGCATGCGGTGGGTGTTTTGACTGTCACCCAACATGTTTATAAGCTCCGGCCATCAGATGGGATTTAGTAATGAGAACAGACAAGTGTTATTGTGCCGCTAATAACATATCGCCCTATCTGGAGGGTTTACACGAGCCATTAATACATTATTCTCTCCAAAGTTAAAACATGCACAACTGTCTGGCATCTGTCACCACATGAGAACAGCTTCTCTTCTGTGTCTTATTTTGCTTCTTCTTTTCCTCTTCACAGAGCCTCGCTGCTTTATATGCAACCTCTCCACGTTCCAGCGCAGCAATTTATGCTCCTCAGTCCCTACATGAGCCACATTGTTAAATAATTCAAGTACAGTATATATATTTATATATGTATGTGGTTGCCAAAACCCAAACAAGTGGCACTTGATACATTCTAATTGACAGTTAAGGTTCAGGATGGCACCATTCAAACTCTGCCTAATGGTTTCTTTCTCCGGATTTGAAAAGACACCAAAATCTTAACGGTGATGCGATGAGATCTGGAGTGATAGCACTGTGAAGTTGAGGAGGAAGAGGCAGAAATAACTGTTTTTTTTTTATTATTATTATGGAGGTATATTCATTAAAATAAAGTTGGTGTTAGCTGTCCATCAGGGCGGTGAGTTGGACCTGGAGGAAGAGGGCTGATTGGTTTAGGGGTATGAAACTGGCTGCTTCCTGTTTGCTGATGACCTGTTAAGACACACACACACACACACACCACACACACACACACACACACACACACACACACACACAGGGAGAGAGAGCAGGTCTTCTGAGATTAACTTCCCCAGTAGATGTCAGTAAAACATCCCCATCCTCTCTTTATTCCCCCCTAACAATCTTTGCTCTGTGGCAGCTTTCAGAAATAAATACCAAATAATGTCAAATCACACTAAGCCTTTAATACCAGCTGCCCAATTCAAAAATGCAGCGTCGTAATAAATCAGACAGGAATACACCTTTCGAACAAGACTGGAGCGGGTAAATCTCAATAAGTGCGAGTCAGTCATGATAAAGAGGGAGTCACTCTGCTGTTCAGAGAGAGGAGGACGAGGAGGGAGAGCAGCTCAGGCCATACAATGTGCTGTATACACAACGTGACAAAGAGCAGGTCTTCTTGGCTGTGCGTTCAGATAATCAACAGGCTGCTGGCAAAGGACCGAGTTCATGTAAAGGAACTAAATCTGAAGATGTGATACATAAAAATTTTAAATTCTGCTTTTGTCTACTTTCCATTTAGAGTCAGAGTCGAGCAAACGTATGAAATTGACTGTAACTGTTTGGTGATTTATTCTGTCTTGCTCCAAGATATTCAGAAACTGATTTGTCTCCCTCCCACTAGCGGATGGACCCCCACCCCCTCCCCCTCCCTCTCTCCATGTTTGACTGGAAATAGGATTATAAAAGAATGAATATTGAATTTGCAGACTTCGGTTCGGCGTGTTTGCGGTGAGCTGTGGGTGACAGGAGAGGGTGTGTGGCGTTACACTGAGGGGGTCGTCTCTTCTCACACGGTGTATGAAAGTGTTGCCTTTTTCAAATCCGATCTCTCAGAGGTGAGTTCTGCAAACAACCCCCCCCCCCTCCCCAAACCACCAGCAGCACCCCTTCCTCTTCAGATTTGCGCTCTCCTCGGTGCTGAAACCGGAAAAGTCTGCGTAAAACTGCGCAAATTCCTGCCGCACCAGCCCCCCCCCTCCCCCCGAATGGAAACACACAAATTACGCGGGCAAAACATAAAAAATAAAAAATGACTTTCTCTACTAACAAGTGAAAGAAAATGAATGATCCAACTTGAGTCCAACACGTGAAATAAATTTGAAACTGTGCGCCTGAACCAAATCCTAACAAGCTAAATGAACCGATTTTCTTTGAAGACTGCTGCTAGATGTCTGATCCTGTCGGTGTGAGGTTTAATTGGTGTATTGACGGATTATATCTTTATTTTATTTTATTTTAAAATCACGTGTTGCTGCACTTGTGGCGGTAAACGCTGGAGCTGGTTTCCCCAAATCTAAAAAGGCAAATAACGACTGTCATTATCGTCAAAGAAAGAAGTGCCAGCCTACTTCTTATTGCTCTCTTTCTCTCTCTCTCTCTCTCTCACCCCCCCCCCCCCCCCCCCCCCCCCCCCCCCCCCACTCCACTACCTCCCCACTTTTCCCTCGCTCAGCCGATGCGCTCTCCGTCTCCAAAGCCTGTCTCCAGAAGCATGTCCTCAGACATGCAGCCACGGTGCGATGAAGCGGACCAAGAGACGCCACCAGCATGACAGCATGAAAGCAGGTAAGTGCGCGCACACATGAATCTCATGAACATATGAAATGTTTTCGCTGTTTCCTCTGATAAACCCAAAAAAAAAAAGAAGAAGAAAAGAGTCGATATTTCTGCAGCAGGTTTTACCTGGAGCTCTCTGGCCGGGAGATGTAGAGCGCTCGTTCACCGCAGCTTTTCATTGAGATGTCTCGGTGCTGGTTGCTGCCAGGGATCGAACTTGAGACTCCTCATATACGGGACTCTCCCTCTATAATTGTTGCTCCACACCTGTTATGATCCTCCAGTGCGTAAAAAGCCAAAACATCTTTTTCTTTTTTTTTCTCTTTTTTTATTTGCTGATTTAAAAAAAGAAAAGTATCTAACTTTTTTTTTTTTTTTACACAAAAAAAAAAACTAATTCCTGGGTGACTGCAGTAAAAAAAAAAAAAAAAGAAAAAGATGCTTGGTATATCGTGTAGAAAACGGGGCTGCCAATATCTACCGGAGGGGGAAGCGTTGAATGATGAGCACAAGGACAACGAAATGTTTTACGCTTGATCCACAGCTGCTTGTGCCATATGGCGCATCGTAGACGCAGAGGGAGGAGGACCGAACTTTATTTCATGTACTTTGTCCTGAGCGAACCGCAGCTGATTTTCTCTCAGTATGAAATAGAATATATTGCTGTCTTCATTTTTCAGCCGAATACATCCATTCACCCAGGAGGCTGCGCGCTGTCTTGTCATATATCCGGTGCAATAAGCGCTGGTTAACCCTCCCTTCTCTGCATTTAAGCGTCGTTTAAATAACTGTGTTTGGTTTTTTAAATGCGAGATAAATGCGAAAGGGTTTATTGGTCATTTTTTTGCCCTCGTGCCACTCCGATGCGCATTGGATAAACGCGTCCTCCTCATCGGTACATTCTTGCCCTCATATAACAGCTGGTTGAGTTTCTCAGTGTCTAACACCAGAAAGCGAAACACTACAGAATCAAACGTCCTGATCTGTGTTGAACCCCCCACCCACCCCTCCTCTTTCACGTCTAATGGTGCATTTTGGCGGCAGAGACGCAGATCTGTGTGAGTCTATATTTGCCCAGAGGCAGTTTCCTCTCTTGTCTCCTCAATTCGATCAACCTCGCTCGATTTCAGCACAGGAGGTTGCAGACAATGCAGAGAGAGGGAGGGAGAGAGAGAGAGAGAGAGAGAGAGAGAGAGAGAGAGAGAGAGAGAGAGAGAGATAGAGAGAGAGAGAGAAAGAAAGAGAAATATACACGTTCAATGCTGCAGTGTGATTCCTGTGTGTTCATGTCAACAAAACGACAACAAAGCGTTGTAATCATATAGGCTAAACACTGAGCTCTACAAACCTCTTTAAGAATGAGAGGTGATGTCGCTCCGCTGCCACGAGCTCGTGTACGTGCGTAAAAGCGCAACGGAAGAAGCGGATCAGACTTGAGACGGCAGGTTTGTGTCGGACTGGTGTGGCTGTTATAGTTGAGATGTTTTTTACGCACAGAGTGGATCTCTCTCTCTCTTTCTCTCTCTCCCGAATCTCGCTTTTTGGATGACGTGCAGTGGTTTTGTTGCGCACAAATCCACCGGAGGAGTCGATATCCAGAGGTAAAGCTGCTGTTTTATCGAGCTTTTACGACACAGTTGGAGGCTATTTCTCCCGTTTTCTTACAATCAGGTTTACGGTTATAGTTATAACAGTTTATTCAGATTCGGATGGAAACCGGAGCCAAAAAACAAAAAACAAACAAAAAAACGCAGATGTCTGTTCCTCCTTTCACTTGGCAGGATAAATCAGTGCAGGGGAACTGATAACTGGATACAGCTTCTAGTTTTGGATCATTTCAGTGGTTTGTTTTTCTGGTCAAACTAAAAACGAAAAAACTGAGGCTCAAACGCTGCTTCTAAATATGAAAAAAAAAAAAAAAAGATTCTTGCTGTTATTTCTGCACTGGGAGAAAGAAGTCTGTGAGGACTTCACTTCATGATAACACAGTGTATTTAGGTTGTGATTATTAGCTGCTGGGGTCCTGAATAAATACTGCAAATGGAGTTCACCTGTGGCACCAACATCTGCGCAGAGACTTGTAGTCATTTGACATATGTTGTTGTGGCAGTGTGTGAATGAGAGCTGTGGCTCGACCTTGATTAAGTCGCTGGCAGTAATTGGTTTTGTTTTGAGGAGAGTCTAATGTCGCCTTTTGTGGCTGTTATTGTGACGGTGTGTTCCCACAGGTGTGTGTAGGTCGATGCTGGTTTTTGTTCTTGCACATTCAGGCAGAGCTCCAGCTTGGAATTTGATCTGGTGTGTTGCCAAAAAGAGGAGGAGGAGGGGGGAGGGGGTTTTGCATTTTGCTACTGTCTGGAATCCATTAGAAAGTTTCAGTTTATTGAAATAGCGCTGCAGGGGAGCAGGTGAACACTTACAGCTGATCCAAAAAAGATAACCTGTAACAAACAATTTACACTTTTTGTGCTTTTTCTTGGAAATGTGCATTTTTCTTTGGTGGGCACTTCATCATGACTGGGTCCTTCACCTGCTCCCAACACTTGAACCAAAGGCGTTACAGAAGAACCATTTGTTTGCCTGTAGATAAAGATTTTTGAAAACCTATTATGTTCCCACAGAAAACACAATTTGCACGGCCTCAAAAAAAAACCTTCAGGTTTCATAAATCACCCTACACAATCAACACAACCTCTTAAACCACAGCCAGAGATGGAAGAACCACTTCGGACTAACGGTTAATAGTTCCATTTAGCGAGCAGAAGACGCTCTGGAGTCATATTTGTATTGAATAATCACATTTTGATCCTGTTTTATTGCAGAAAATGTGATTATCAAGTGCAGCTGAGAACACAGTCCATTTTATTTTAATATGGCAACGTGCTAACAACTTTAACAGTGGTTATTTCACTGTACTGATCATGTCTTTTAACACGTATTTTTAATTTACTTTGGCTAAATGTCCTTCATGTTATTACAAGGGCTTAGGCACATTTGTGAGAGCGCTTTAATGCCTTTTTTACATCGAGAGAAAACATCAAGACCTTAAAGAGAGCTGATACAAGTGGGCTCTTTATAAAAATCGCCATATTTTGTATATGAATAATGTGGTTCCACCTGTCCTGGCCCTGCTATTTTTTTTTCGGTGCAAGTTTCCAGAAGTGTCTTGCGACTTGTTGCTGCTCATTTCCCGTCATCGTCCTGTTTGACATCCTGATGTTGATGGATGAGGTTTGGATGCACCGTGACTGAACAGTTACTCCACAGCAGGGGGGGGTTCTATTTCTGCCAGCCCACTGAGGTTTGCCAAGGTCAGAGGCGTGGCTTTGTTTCTTTTACACCTCCTTCCCCTAACTATTGATATTACATTAGAGATGCAGATATTATACTGTGTGCATAATGTTCACGGGGGGGGGGGTCAATGTGCGCGAGTGTGATAGCAGATCATGGCATGCATCGATTTGTATGTTCTGTGTGGCCAGCAATTATGCAGGAATATTGCCTATTGGCATGTTGGTTAATGCAGATGGGAGTAAAATTACATGCTGGGGGGTGGGGTGGGGTGGGGGGGTTGGTTCATAGAGTATCTGAATGAGTCGATAGTATTTTCACAAGATCACAAATTCTTGCAGATGAAGCATCTAAAAGTGATGCTTGTTGCCCCCTGTGGTGAAAACGTGACATGGACAGGTGCGCACACACACACACACACACACACACACACACGTACATACAACAAAATGAATGACTCTTTACCTGGTCACACTCACATGGAGGACAGAGAGAGGAGGAGACTCGTGCCAATGCTGCTACCTACTTGCTAAAGCTGTGTTTCTGGCAGAGGTGGTAACCGTGTTATAGAGGCGACGTTGCTAAAGTTAAATTTAGCTGGTGGGGTGCCTCATTCCATGGACATAAGCTCCTCGGTTGTAGAGCGGCTGCACAGTGCACATTAGTGAATCTGTGTAGCTGGCACACACAGAAAGGAATGTCTAATTATCACGCTTTCAACCGCAGAAGGCTCCTATATTTGCACTGAGCTCCTGCTCTAATCGCTTTCTTTTCCTATCATTACACACTTATTTATTTTTTATTTTTTTATTTTTTTACGCAATTAAAATGTTTGTTTTTCTTCTTCCCTCCGTACGGATGAGCCAGGAAGTCCATGCAGTGTCGGCTGGGCGTTGAAGAGAAGGTCTAATTGAGCAGGGACCGAAGAATGGGTTCGGCTAATGTGTGGAAATTTGGTGGAAGAGATAAAAAGGGATTCTGTGAAGGGGCTTTTACATAACAGTGAACATGTCGTGTACAAGTGTGTGTGTGTGCGTATGTGAGGATGAAGGTTGTGCCAGTGAAAAGGAGACTGGATGAGGATGTATTTGACTCATGCATTTATCTAAATATGGTTTTATAAGCTTAAACGTCCGTGTTTCCCGCACAGATTTCCATGTGCTGATACTGAATCTTCAGCTACAAATGGCTGGTGTTCACTTCAGCGGTGCTCCTTATCAGATGCTGAGTGATTGCAGAGCTTTACAATATGAAGTGCCACCAAACCGCGGCACGAAGTGGCATTGATTGGAAAGGATGGAGAGGAGGGAGATTCCTCCTTAAGGTCATTATCTAGCAGAGAGAGTTGGACGAAACAAACCAGAGTAATTGCATTTATAACAAAAGACTCGGGATCAATGGAGTAAGCTCTACTTACAGCATTGTGTCAGCATATTTCATCAACATACAAATGGATTCAGTGACCCTGTAATTGCTCATAAAAATCTACTCTATGAAATCAGTTCAGCATCTCCCTGAAGTATGAAGTCTGTGTGGACCCACATTTCCTGTGATTCAGAAAGTGAATCATGATTCATGCAGCAACACATTTGAGGGATTTGACACGCAGACAACATGAAAGAGACTTGTTTCACTCTAGTGCGGCATCGAGCTATGATTTACTGTCAGTCTGTGTATCAGAAACTAAGTTAATACAGATTATTTTGTTATTATTATTC